TTTTTAATTCTTGTTTATTTTATTCAATTTTTGTTTATTTTTCTTTCATTTATTTTTTATTATTTACTTATTTACAATAGTTTTTATTTATTTGTTTTGGTATCTATTTATTTATTTCTTTATTTTTTCTTGTTGTTTTATTTATTTTGTTATGTGTTTCTTTTATTATATATTTTTTTATTTAATTAGTTATTTGTATTATTTATTTATTTCATATACACTTATTTATTTTTATTATTTAAATATTTGTCATTATTACATATATTTTGTATTAGTATTATTTTTGTACATTTTTTTTATTATGATTCATGATTTATTATTTTTTTTATTACGATTAATGATTTATTATTTTTTTTTTATTTGATTTCTTGTTGCTTAGTTATTGATTTATTTATTGTTTTAATTATGTAATTTTTTTAAATATTAATTATTAATTACTTTTTATCATTTGTTATTTATTATTTTTTATCATTTATTATTTATTTTTTAATTATTCATTTTTTTGATATTTTTTAATAATTTTTTTATATTATTTTTGATATTTTTTATGTCTCCTTTTTTAAACATTTATTTCTTTTATTTTATTTCGTTTTTTATTTATTAAAATATTTTCTAATTTTTTCAAGTTAATTTAATCTTTTTTTAATTTGGTAATTTTATGTTTTTCGAAAGCGTAGTAGAAAAAGTACTAAAAAGATGCATATTCTGTCTTATCCTGAGTTTCGCCTGTAAAAAAATTTACCCGCAAATTTGTCATACGCCCATAGTAAAACTATGGAGACCAAAAGTGAAAAGTGAACCGGTTCGGGGAAAATGAGACTCATGGTAAGGCTGACTGTTTTTAATTTCCGCACTTTTTCTTTCATTTAAATTTTTTATTTATTTGTTATTTTCTTTTAATTTTCTTTTTATATTTTGATTGAATAGTTTACTATTATTATTTATTTACTCTTTTTTATTTTATCTTTTTTGTTCTATATTTTTAATTTTATAATTCTTTTCTCTTTTTAACTCTACCTTCTTATTTAAACCTCTTCTGTTTTAATTTAACCTTTGTCATTTTAGTATTTACTGTTTTTTTATTCCAAATATTTTATTTTATCTTTTTTTAATTCAAGTTTTTTATTGTTTATTTTTTTTTTGTAGTTTTTACTTTGTCCTTTTTACTTTTTCTTTTTTATTTTAAAATTTTTATGTCTTTTTCACTAATATAATTTTTTTGATCTTATTCAATTGTATTTTGATTTCTGTTTCTGAATTTTTCGAATTTTTTTTAGTTTTAAGTACTTTTGATTTTTTTACCTATTCTCCTTAATACAACACAGCGAACATAGTATGTAACCTTTTTGCTCTTACTTTAGTAAGGTATTTCTTCAT